TTGTTATGCAGTGGAATGTATATATTTATTTATTTAACTCTATCTTTGTGAAATAAGTGTATAGAAAATTTGATTTCTTTAACCAGGCAGAACCTGGTGTTCAAACATGATTAATTTAATAATATTAACTATGTTTGTTTACATGAATAACTAATCCCATATCTTGAGCAGTTTCGAGCTCCATCATCTCTCACCATTCAGCTACTTCAATGATCCGAAAAGCTATCCTTTACATTTTTCTGTGTCATTAAGAGGAATAAGCAGCTTCGCGAATATGCTCCATCATTTCTCACCATTCAGCTACTTCAATGATCCGAAAAGCTATCCTTTACATTTTTCTGTGTCATTAAGAGGAATAAGCAGCTTCGCGAATATGCAAAAATCTACTCTACAGTTTTCTTTGTTTAAACTTTCAAAGCAAACAACAACTATACAAAAAATAGAAGATCCAAATTAGGACTATGAATACTGTTAGTAATGAAATACCTCAAGGTTTTCTGGAAATCCTGGAATTTTAAACAGAACACATCTTCACGGAATGATGTGTATAGAATAACAATGTTAGCACAGACGACCCTGGTAATGTTGAATTTGTTGTACAATTCTGATTGAGAATTAAGTTCAAGTTTTTATGAATAAGTAAAGAAAACTATATTTTTGGTTTTGCTGTTTAAGGTTTTGTCTTTATGAGAAGATACCAGTGTCATTAAAATTTATCTGTAGCTATTTATTTATCTATGTTGGCTATCTGTGTCTCTCTATTTATTAGAAGTGATAAAATAGAATAGTTCAGCAACGTAATCCTGGTCATGTTTTTTTACTGAAAAGACCACTTGTAAGTTTTTCTACGACAAACAAAAAGTGATTTAGTAGTACCTGTCACTCTAAGCTTTTCTTAGCATCTCGTCCATTGTCATTAATGACTTTGCAAAACGAAAAAAGAAAATAACTCTTTGGATTTGACATTTCACATGCTATCTCCCTGCTACCAACTCCTGTCCGTAATCCTTCGGATTAAAGATTGTAGCGAACACTTGAGAAACAAAGATCGTCGGAAAAAGTAAATATCGAATTCGTCACGTGATGCATATACTGTCGATCAAATAGAAAAAAAAAGCTTCTATTTCTATAACTTCAATAACCATTCAAATATCCATTTTCAATATAAACCAGAACGATATTTTGTTTACTTCTAACTCAGCAAACGTGAATTTCATATCAAGTAACTTTTAAAGCTAAAAATATAACTGTAGTATGAGAGGATATGAAACATTTACTATCGACTTGTGGTCGTTTGAATAATTAGTAGGTCAGTAATATCCTTCTATTGTTTGATATGTTTTACTACGATAGATCACGTGCATCACAGTTAAAACGTATTGTAATCATGTTCTTAACAAAGTAATGTGAAATTACTGTGCTTATGCATGAACGGTTAAGAATTTGCACGATCACATTATTTTGTCTTTTGATCCTCTGACGAACAGTGGACAAAAATTCCAGACACCTGACGCTCTTAAAGCAGCTGTAAACATATGGATTCGTAATATCACACCTAAAAATTACAGAACTGATATAGTGAAGAAGAGCCACCAGGGGGCTATGCTAAGAAGTCATGCATTCATCATTAACATAATTGGTCTATGTCTACTGGTTCTGATCTGATATGGTGGCCTACGAGAATAAAACTCCTTTCTGTTTGAAACAATCTTCGAGCTTTGTTACCTCAGTAAAGTGGGGTTGTTATATCACATATATTTTTATGATCATTATATCAGTAGAATATCATTCATTTTAAATCATCAATGGGGATTGGGTTCATGTCACACAGACTTTCATGACTGATAAATATACCAGCAGTATTTTTACTTTCATGTCACTAATACACTCGCGAGAGAAATAATGTTTTTTTCATGCAGTTTTATTTATCAGTGCATTAAGTTTACTTATCGTTACTCTTCTAAGCCAACGACTGACTCCAATACAATTGTTATCTCACGGTTGAACCTTTGCAATGCTGTTGATATTTTAGTCTAGCGTTTAACGCTGTATTAATTGATGTTGCTATTCTTCTGATTCATCTTGTGGTTAGTTCTATAATGACGGATGTTGTTCTTTTCTAATCAGTAGAGTGTTTGATGATGTTAAACTTCTAGTGATTTACCATCTCAGTCATCCAATATTTTACTCTCAAGTAATGGATGTTTTAACCTTGTAATTAACAGAGTGATGTACCCTTTAGTTAATGTTGTTATTGCATTTTATTCCGTTCAGAAATTTACCCTTTAACAAATAGTATTGTTATTAACTTATCCTTTAACAAGTAGTAGTTTTATTAATGTATCCTTTAACAAACAGTATTTATCCTTTATCAAGTAGTATTTGTTATTTACTTATCCTTTATCAAGTAGTAGTTTTATTAATTTATCCTTTAACAAGTAGTAGTTTTATTAATTTATCCTTTAACAAGTAGTAGTTATGTTAATTTATCCTTTAACAAGTAGTAGTTATGTTAATTTATCCTTTAACAAACAGTATTTTTATTATTAATTTATCCTTTATCAAGTATTATTTGTTATTAACTTATCCTTTATCAAGTAGTAGTTTTATTAATTTATCCTTTAACAAGTAGTAGTTATGTTAATTTATCCTTTAACAAACAGTAGTTTTATTAATTTATCCTTTAACAAACAGTATTGTTATTAACTTATCCTTTATGAAGTAGTATTTGTTATTAATTTATCCTTTAACAAGTAGTGTCGTTATTAATTTATCCTTTAATAAGTAGTGTTGTTATTAATTTATTTCACCCATGCAGTGATTAACTCGATAATAACTTATCTTTGGCTGGTTTATTCGTACAGAATTCTGCTTTTCAATTAGTTAATCTGTTTATTTTCTAGTATTTAATGATTGACTCCTATAACAATAATAAAATCACTGGAAATGAAATCTGTCTAATGATTGAACCTTTCATAAAATATTTTGTTTTTGTTTTTTCTAGTACGTCCAGTAATTGACCCTTTCAGTTTCCCAGCCTCTGTCCACCAGGGCCAACGGTTCACAGCCATATGTACCGTCATCAAAGGAGATTCTCCTGTCCGGTTTACTTGGCTTAAGGATAAACATCGGCTTGAAGACTACCTGGACATTCGTGTTGTCGGAGTTGGTGAGTTTTCATCCACTTTGATCTTCAACTCATTGCGGCCTGAGCACCATGGAAACTACACGTGCATCGCGAGCAACTTAGCAGGTTCCGTGAGTCACACAGCAAAAATGATAATTCACGGTACGGTTTGTTCACGTTTTTAGTTTCATCTCTTACAAAAAAATGCCTAAACTTATGACCGTCGTAAAGTATAAGTCTTAAACTTTAGTATCGAGATTAGTTTTCAGTGTGTTACTCTTAAATACTTGTTCTAAATTTATCCGTAGAACTTGCAAGTGTTAATCATTTTATGAAAGTGTTATTATAAGTGTTAATTGTATACTATATCTGTCATATCATTAATAGTAAGAACTTTAGCAAGTTTTAATCTTAAGATTAGCTTTAGAGGTTTTAATCTCAAACTTAGGCCCTAGGTCTGGTTTAAATGTTTCTATTTCAAACTTTATTATTATAATTATTTGTAGCCAAGTGGTTAGCATGCTTGGTGGCGGATTAGAAGATCCAAGGTTCGAGCTGGATGCGCTGCTGAACATGCTCCTTACTTTGAGTTGTGGGAATTTAATAACTATAAAAGTCGATTATGGTATTTTATGAAGAGTAGCTGCGTAGTACTGTAGGTACTACTAACTGAATGTCATCTCTTGTCAGCTGTTCTAAATTAATGGTGGTTATGCCTGGATGGTGGGACTTCTGTCCAGCTCGTTTGTCGTGTAAGGTGCCGTTCGTTACCAAATACCAAAAAGACTTAGACGCAGAAGGTCTAGTCTCAAACATTAGCCTTAAAATTAGCCGTAGATCTCTGAATTTTAAATAAGGCCGAGCGTGGCCCAATTGTTAGCGAGACCACACTGTGAATTCTAGGATACTTGATTCGTGTCCCGATGGCAAATAAACACGCTTCCCACTTTGAAGCAGTGGTTGACTAGCTTCTTTTTTCTGGTCAGTCTATCAGTTCAAAATGGGAGACTGTAATGTGCAGATAGCCCTAGTGTAGATTTGCACACAAAAAAGCTGAAACAAGGAAACAGTTTCAAATCTTAGTCCTAGGATTCAGTTAGGATTCAGTTTTCGAAGTTTTAGTCACAAAATTTAATCCTATAGGATTAGCCAGGGTCCGGTATAACTTAGAGGTTAATGTGCCAGGCAGCGTATCAGAAGATTCAAAGTTCGAGTTACATATGCCGCTTATGAACATGCTCCGCGCTTTCAGTATTATAACTGTGACAGGTAATCCAGCTATTCGATTAAGATTAGCCGCACAAGCGACGAGTGTTTCTGATTGGTTGCTCTCTCTCTGGCCAAAATTTCTAGATTAGGGATGACCGTCCCTAAACCTTGAGGTATGTGACCTTGCCGTTTAGCCCTTGTGGCGCATAAAGTGCCTGTAGAAGTTTGGTTTAGTTCTATAATTAAATATAATAATTTTAGTTTTAAGTTTTATGTCTCGGATTAGCTAAAATAGTTTTAGTTTTCAATTTTTGTCTGAGGACTAGTTGTATGGGTTTTATATCAAACTTCAGTTATAGAATTCAGTACACTAATTTTAGTCTCATTCTTTATTCCTTGTAACAACTAAAGCAGTTTTAGTTTCAAACTTTTATCTGAGGATTAGTTGTATGGGCTTTATATCAAATGTTAACCCAGAATAAGATGTTTAAGATGTAGGAATATGCCTTAGTTTTAGGACGAGATGTAGAAGGTTTAGTTTCAAATCAACATCGGTGTATAGAAAGGCAGAATCGTCAGTGTAAATCTAAGATTAGTCGTAGATATATGTCAGTTTTGGTTTCATTTTGATTCTTACAGTACCTCCTAGGTGGAAAGTAGAACCACGTGATAGTTTTGTGATTAAAGGTCACTCCGCCCTCATAGACTGCCAAGTCGACGGTTTTCCTCATCCCCGAATTCGCTGGACTAAATCCGCAGGTGAGAATAGTTTCAATAATATTAATTTTGAGGTCTCTGTTTGTTATAATCCACTGTATGTCCTTGCTTCTGATATGGTAATTAAATTATCACCAACGTTTGAGCCTCGAGGGCTTACAAACCCTTTTTTTATGTATTACATTTGTTGTTTCTTACCAGACTTTGGCAGGTATATCTACTACTTTAAAATAAGTAATTATTAAATAATTAATTATTGTTTTCATTTGGTGAAGGTTTGTAGGATGTACAATATAAAGTGTTATTTAGTAAATGTGTATTTTCAAACACCCCCTTTTGGTCTACGTAGAGGCGTCATACAGTTTGTAAAAAGGATGGGAAAACATTAGGATTGATTAAATGTATATAAGAGCCAAAAATACTGCTAACAGCGAGGATACCAAAATGAAAACCTAACGCAAAATGGTCATAGAGGCTTTTGTGATTTGCCACAAGACTGATTGTTGCTAATTATAATTTTTATTGAGGATGTTTAGCAAATCTCCTGGTAGAAGTTATTACATAATAGGTTATATAGCATTTTAGAAGAAAAGCACTCTTAGAACAGAATGGTATTATCTCTCGCACTCATGTTGTTTAACCTATATTTGACCTGTTACATATTGAAAGAAAATTACAAGATTTTCAATTCATTTGGTTTCAACCTTAAAGGATAAAATATTACTACAGCTTGTATAGCTATCGGTCCGGATTTTTCACGATTCGATTTATTCTCAAAAAGCATAAAAGCGATAAATAAGAAAAAAGTAGTAATTATAGCAAATAAAATCCAGAAATTTGGGAGTTTGGCTCAACCAGGAATTTGGGAGTTTATAAGAATTCAAGGTTCGATCTCTGAAATAAACGCAGCAAGGATAGCTTACTGTGTAACCTTGTTATCAACAATCAGCAAATCAAATAAAATTATGAAGGTTAAAAATAAAAAATAGCATTAAAATAAAATATTTTGTTTTTACATATTTAATAACTCATGAACATGGATATGAATTGTAGGTAGCCATATCGCAAGTCACGTAAACACTGTATCTGTTCTTAAAGCAGTCTCCTCTGGTTATGGTAACGCATAGAAAGAGATACAGCAGAGGTGAAATGGTAAAGAAGGACCAGATAACCGAGATTTAACGTTGGGCATGTTGTAGATCTTAAGAACTTCTCAATATGAAGTTCACGAATTTCTGATTTATAAGTGTAGCCAACCCTATATTATGATATTATTCAACAAATGTCTGAAAGTAGAGTATGACGTTAGAAGTGGAATATTCTACAATCTCTCAAGTGTTTCAAATTCTGTCCTTCGAGAATGTCGTGGGGTTATGAAATAAACTGTTACAGTAGATAGAATTTAATGTTATGAATTGGAATTTTCAACCTGAACTGTACGTTATGAGCAAGTTGACTAAACGGCTACGCCAAGAGAACCAATGGAGCTCAGAAGTAACAATAACTAATTTTGAACTACTGACCAGACGTAAGGCAGCAACACCCGCCGCCATGTATTTGTCCTTGAACCATTTTATGGGTTTTACTGCCACTTTAATAACGAGCTCATAGTTGATATTGTAGAGAATATTCAACGGTAGCATACCTCGAACCCAGAACCCATCGATCCACTACCCAACATGTTAACCACTAGGCCACACTCGGCTGTTATCTATATGAAAAACAGATCGCATGCCATCCCGCTTTTATTTCATGTCTACGACATTTAAGTCGCAGGCTTTACAAAGAGTCAAATATTTTATTGCTACTAAACTTTATTATTTGTTCACAGGCTGTCAATAAAGTGGGATTTCAACTATTTTATGTTTGTTTTTTTTAATGCGTCACCAGTAGACACACCCAGAGATTACCGACCCATCAGCAGTAGCTCTCGTCTGTACGTGTACGAAAATGGTACAATGGCCATCCACAATGCACAGAAAGAAGATGCAGGATTTTATTTATGTCAGGCTTCTAATGGAATTTCTCCTAGTATCAGCAAGGTCATCAAATTAAGTATACATGGTAGGTTAGAACTGAAACTATTTATTGGTGCCTCAGAGCTTAAGAATCGTAAACACATTTAGACCTTTTACTGTGTCTCAAATAGACCAAAAAAACTCGTAACCTTACAAAATATTTTATTAACTACAAGATAAACTCCTGAAAATATAAAAAAAAACATTCATCATGTTAATCACATTTTCTAAGAGTCAATTTGCCCCCCCCCCCCCAGTGGCACAGCAGTATATCTGCGGACTTACAACGCTCGAAACCGGGTTTCGATACCTGTAGTGAGCAGAGCACAGATAGCCCTTTGTGTAGCTTTGTGCTTAACTTCACACACAAAAAATAGTCAATTTTGCCATTTATTATCTGAAAGGTGTATCTATAAAATTATAAACTGAGCTTTCGATGCGTTATCCTTTTTTAGTTTATTTAATGATTTTTTAAAAACGTTTGAATATTTACATGTATTTAAATATTATATTTATAAGTTTTATAGGCAAACTTTTCTCTTAGTTTTGGCTAATTATAACCCATGTTGTATAACTTTGCATTTATGCCCAGTAATGTTATGATTTGACCGCAACCTAAACCAAATAAAACTAACCAAGCTTAACAAAAGTGCTTTTAAATGGTTCAGATTAGAGTAAAAGTATTACTAATACTTAATTCATTTAAATATAGCAGAATATTCAAAGGTTAGTCGATATTTTCTGAACATAGTGAGCACCTGGTGATTATTAAGGTAATTAAATCAATCTCGATGTTTATAATTTGACTTTACCACATTAACAGATATAAAGATAGATGTCTTCTAGTAATAATTAAAAGTTACAAACTATTTGAAACTATTTTATTTTTAAAATAATTTTCCCATGTTGACAGATTACTAATAACTTACAGATAGGACATATAAAAGGTACTTGAAACAGTTTTTGGTGGAAATATTACATTTATTTTTGGAGTACAACGTTTCGTCTCTAGTGAGACATAAACACTTACGGCACGTCTCACTTTTAAGAGACGAAACATTGTACTTAAATAATGAATGTAATATTTCCACCAAAATCTGTTTCAACATTATAAAAGTTCAATAATTAAGGTGTAGCGCCATCTATTGAAACTTTGTAAAAGCTCAAATGCATCTAAGTATTCCAAAATGCATTTCTAATTTCTATGTGGTTTTGAGTCGGTTTTACTTCACCATTTAAGTTAATTCAGATATGTGAATAATGTGACAACATTTCTTCAAATTCATTATTCGACATTATACAATTATTTCTAATTTGCTCTAAAGCTGTTTCCTGACCAATGCAACAAGAAAAAATGATAACTACCTATCTGCTTTTGTTGATTTTTAGTTGCTGCTCATTTCACTACAAAGTTTCGAGCTGAAACAGTGAGTAGAGGCTACAACGCTAAATTAAAATGTGAAGCCAGAGGTGATCGACCCATATCAGTTGTGTGGATGAAAGATAAACATTTGTTTCATCCTCAAGATGCCTCAAGGTTGAGTAACTTCTTAAATATTAGAAAGACAGAAATACAAATACAGAAAAGTACGAACTAACAAACAATCTATCTTCAAGACTTACAGAAATCGAGTCATTTCTTAGATAAGACAAATAGAGATAAAAGGAAACAGACAGAAAATTAAAGAGAGGAATAGGTGGATAAAAAGGGAAAACAAAACAAATAAACAACTTGAAAGTAATGAATAAATTTAGGATTGTGTTTTAAAGTCTGATTAGCTCTTGTAAAGCACGTGATTCGTAAATCAAGAAAAGTCCATATAAAAGCCGCCTAAGGCTACAATATAATCATGTGCCTTGTCATGTTAAACTATTTTTCAGTATTATAGTACGTATGAATAAATAACGTAGTTAATATGTTACTTATAACGATGGATTGCAGTATTCTGATCACAACGTATTTGTTATATATATATGTATAATGACTGACATAAATATGTTTCAATGTGATTTTACTAACTTATTCATAAGCTAATGTCAAAGTTCACGTTAGAGACAAACTTTCTACGAGTGGAAAAGTAATTGCGAGTGAACTTGGATCTCTGTCTCTGTATCGTTGTAACTCGAGAACATTCGAAGCTGTTTTTGTCTATTTCTGTATCGTTGTAACTGGAGAACATTCGAAGTTGTTTTTGTTGTGCGCTATTAACAAATAAAAGTTCATATATTGAAGATTGCGCTTATTACGTCATCTGACTCAAGTATTAAATTACTCAGTGTGATAATCAAATTCGAGAGTAGATACATGGGGCAGGGGTAGGACCCTTTTCTTCAGAAAAATAGACACGTTTAAATACATTGTTACTCAATGAAGCTCTCAAACAACGATACCATTAATGAAAATTGAAATAGTATATCCCTTATTATCATGAATACTATGTGTAAAGCAATAAAAATGTGCTTATTTGATCAATTAACATACTATCAAGGAATTACATGTATCATTACAATTAGGCCTATAATTAACCATACATTCTGGTCCAAGTGTTTGACTACCCCCCCCCTCACATACACACATTTCCAAAGTCCTACTATATCCGCCCCCAATACTAATGTTTGTTACATACCACACAATTATTATTGAATTTTCTATCAACAATCTATATAACTATAGATGCCCCCTCCCTTTGACGTCACAGGTTGCAAGAGCACGGTTGCACCATCTGGCAATAGCATTACGAGTTACTCAAGCACTGGTTGTTCCAACTACCCTACGTTTCCAATAATGTACAACAGTATCATATTTCCTTTTTTAACTACAACGATAGGTTGATGGATAAACAAGTAAACAGATAATTTTAAGTAAGCCACTGTATGAAAAACTGTTATAAATATATGTATATATTACGTAATGGCTATTACTTATGTTATATTAGCAATAAACTTATGCACTATTTCCTGCTTTGTGTATGATATTTCAGGTATAACATCAAAAAAACATTACATTCTAATGGCATAACGTCATTGTTAATCATCCACGATACTGACAGGCGAGATTCTGCTTTGTTCACTTGTGTAGCATCCAATCCATATGGCAGTGACGACACGAACATCAAACTTATAATACAAGGTATGAGAGGAAGTAACACAACAAAAAAATAGTTTTAAGTTTTAAAGTATTTATGACGCCTGGGGGATGGTAATTTCTTGTAACATTTGTGATATAATTTAGTAATTCTGAAGGTTCAATTTCTGTACTAAATATTCTTTGTATACGTGTTAAGGTACTGTAAAAGTACCGACTAAGCTGAATTCGAGAAGCAAATGATAACAGTGGGAGACAGGTTTCTAGGTGAAACGTGAACGAAAGCTACAACTAACTATACAAACTAGTTAGTACTAAACTAAGTTCACAATGCTGTAATTAGTAATAATAATAATATTGTTGATTTAATTATATGACACATTAATCTGTTATAAGCGTTTAACACACAATAAAGTTATTTAATATCTTTTTTTTTTTCATTTTGCCCATCATATTTTTATCAGAGCCTCCGGATACCCCTCAAGAATTAAAAGTTAAGTTGGTCACCAGTAGAAGTGTGAAGATAGAGTGGGCATCACCGTACAGCGGAAATTCTCCGATAATAGAGTACACAGTGCAATGGAAAGAAAACAAAAGTACACATTTCTGTTTATGTGATGTTCTTAAACTCTACGTATCCAATTTACACCATCATCAACAGCACAGTAAACTGGCTGATCAGTGTCTTACAAGCATCTATGTTTCTTACATTTGTCTGATAGTTTATCATATAGATAAATAAATAGTCATGAACTATTAATTTCGTTGTTTTTTTTTGTTTTTTTTAGCAGTGTTATTATGATTAAAAAATAAAATTGTAAGCATAATGATACAATTTCCCACAGACAGGTGGCAGGATAGTTCTATTGCCAATATTTCTGTGCACGGTTCTGATTCGATGACAACAATAAACGATTTACGGCCAATGACTGTCTACGATTTTCGAGTTCGAGCAGTCAATAGCTTAGGAACAAGTGGATTCAGTGAACCAGTTCGTGTAAAAACAGATGAAGAATGTAAGAGCATAATATTATATTATTTGAAAATTTCTGTAGTAAGAAATCTAAACATATTTACAGTGATTTCCTGATCATATTTTGCTCTCTACGAAATCTGTTGTGTATTCTATGAGTAAATAAAACCAAAATTAATAGTAACAAATATTTGTATTTCTTGCTTTTGAAGTTCATATGTCATGCTCTGTTGTAGCTTTCAGAGTGCATAATTTTTCTCGTGATCCATAGCATGCTATGTTTTATTTACGCTACGACAGTACAAACTGCAACGTTAAGCGTCCCTTATGTGACGTCATTTTAATGTCTACTGACTGAATGATAGACAACACACTACTGTACAGTGGTGATCGTAATTAAAATAGGTGACCCCTCCAGGCGGCCTTCGGCCCCCTTTCTGGGAAATTATTTCAATTACAGTTTTATATGAATATGAAAAAACATAATATCTTAAAAACGAACAACCATTTAAAATGTCAATTAATTAAATATTTTACCACTACTTACATTTGTCTTGCAGCTCCTGGTGGACCTCCTATCAACGTCCAAGCTGAACCTACCAGTTCACAATCAGTGAAAGTTTCCTGGAAGGTAAGGAGTTTTTATTTTGCAAAACAAATCTGTTGTTTAAAAAAAAAAGGTGAATACAAATTTGAAATTCCATTTTTATTAGAGAAACCTCAAAGGGATATAATTTTCTATATTTTCTTTCAGTTACTTCAAATGTCCCTCATTGGGTCGGCGGTAAGCAAGGTTCGATTCCCTTGGTGAGCAAAGCGCAAATAGCCTATTGTGTAGCTTTGCGCTTAAACAAAGTTCCTCAAACACTTTAACAACACATTGAATACTTTTTTAACTACTAGTAATTAAGATGCTTGTATAGAGCCGGAAGTAAACAAACATAACCTTCATCCAATTTCGACACGTATCGAAAGGCATTGACCCGTCAACAACACCAGAGGGCGCGTTGCTATCTGCACGTTGTTAGGTGGATAATCGGACCACGTCATCTACTCCAGGGGACGTGAAAATGTATAAGACAAAGTAACTGTATTTTACATCAGTATACTCAGTATGATAAATAAAATATTTTCATGAGATTTGTTTAATCATATGATCCAAAAACAAAATTATTATGATATAAGAAGATTACTATCTTCTACATAAGGTAAATTATTGTGACAATATCTTCAATTTTAAAAACATCTATTATCTTCGTACAATAAGGATTTCGATATTTGATATACATAAAAAGATATATCTAGTAAATGCGTTATTACATTAAATTGCTCTGTAACAAAATTATGAACAAATATATCATGTATATCTTTATTAGATCCAAATTTGGACTCATATGAACACTCATAAAGAACACCAGGGGCATGTTGCTAGACAGTATAATAGGATTACAGCAGGGGCATGCTGCTAAGTGGTATAATAGGATTACATCAACAACACCCGGTAGCATCCAATTTTTACAAGCTCATATAACATGTCAAGGACATTGACCTAATATTTACATCAACAACACCAGGGGGCGTTTTTCTAGGCAGGATTACGTCAGGGGACAAGCTGTTATGTGCTATGTTGCTAGGTGGTATAATAGGATTATATCAGCAACACCACAGGGCTGCATTGCTATGAGTGCAATATTAGGTGACATCATATGAACAAGTCGTCACAACAGATGGCGCATTACTAACATTTATCTTTTTCATATTATTTCATTAGATTTATAGTCTTTGTCTTAATAATTAATTATCATTGAAAATTTCTGGGATGCTGTATAGAATAATGATACAGAAAACTAAACGTACATTCATGAAATTCTCAATATTTCATGGCACATTAGGAAATTATTTTCTCAGTTACTACTTTTTGTTTTTGATCTAGAACTCATATATTTGTCATTTAAATATAACTTTACAAATCTAACTCACCAATGTCGAAACAAAAGTCTAACTTCTTGAAAATGTAATGGTTTAGACACGTAAATAAATAACAGTATTTTCCATCATCTTACAATTTGGGCTATGTTCTTCATATTTATCCAAGTGATAATTTTCTTCTGACAAGCTTATTCGATAACATTTGATACTGACAATTAACACAAACTGAAATATGTATGAATTATACAAATCTGGATTTCCAAGAGTAAATTAACTTTCATAAAAGTCTGTTTTTTTTTGTTTGTTGTTGGTGGTGGTGGTAGTGGTGGTGTTGTTTTGCACATATGTTCACAAGTCTCTGCTTTGTTACATAAACAGCATGGAAAGCTCTAACATTCCACTCTGGAATACCTGTTTTGTCATGACCATATTCCCACTGGTAAGTTTCATTAGAAGTACTACTATTCATTAATGTATGCAAGTAAACTCACAAACTCTAAATAAAACTGTTGTCGGACGTACTAAAACATGTATTCACAACTGTTGTCGGATATACTAAAACATGTATTCACAACTGTTGTCGGATTGCGACAACAGTTGTGAATACATGTTTTAGTATCATACTAAAAAATAACTTCAAGTATTATTATATTAGATCAACTGCTCAGATTTATAGTTAATCATTCATTGAAAGCTTGCAAGAAAAATTAATGCTGATATTCATTGTAACTGTTAGAAGCGAGAAACATTTCATCAGTAGAGGTGATATGTGTAAACATGGCTTTCTCTTTCTCAGGATGTGATGGCCCTGAAAAGAACCCTTGAATCTCAATTGTTTAAACGATGTTATCATCATTATATCCTAAGTGAAATAACGTACAAGTCTTTCATTTTTACTAACCCTTAACTACTGATTCAAAATGAGAAGAAAAGTAACAACATCTGGACTGTGAACACAGATTTCCCTTTTCGTCTTTGACAAACCATCTGGCGAGTTTACTGTGAATGTTTGCCTACAAATCTAAGCAATTGACCTGAAATTGTAATCCCCTATATATATTTAAAGTTTTATTAACTATTTCTGCATGGGCTTGGTCTCTGGGACCGATCTCATAAACATTTTGTGCTTGTTATAGTTTTTATCTATAACTTTGAAATTAGTAAACATATGTTAACGAAATTTGGCAGATTATCAGTAAACATTGCAATGCTTTCATATGCAAAATATCAGATATCCAACATGCAAAGTAATTTTCATTTTATGATTAAAAATACTTTTGTGATT